ATGTAGTTCATTGGTATCTACTTCTCACATGTACAGTTCACGTGTACTCCTTTGCTACTCCTTCTCTCGTGCATTGCCTAGATACGCTCACCTGTGGTGGTGGCCATTCCCCATACAAGGACAGCGTGTGCCGTTGTGTGGGTTCTGTCGTATCAACGCAGGAGAAGGGCTGGACAAGTTAGACGATCCCATGAAGTACAACGCCTGCCATCCCTGGTGGTTTATGTGGGTCGTCTGTGGAGCGGACCAGCGCACGATTGCTCTGGAACAGAATGATAATATGAAGGTGAGGGGTTGTCGGGATATATGCCTGTAAATGACTATGTGCGATTAAGGGTGGGTACGGGTATGTGTATGTTGTTAGACTATTATATTCTGACTATATGTAGGTAATGTAGTATGTATATTCAGATAGTGTAGTATGTAGTTGTTCATGTGTGTATGTATAGGTGGACTGGTACTAAATGACCATGGGAAAGCCACGGAGTGTACAGGTATGTGTATGTGGGTAGACAGGTATAGAATGACCATATAGAGGTAATGTAAGGTGCATATTTTTGTTTATGTAAACGGATAATCTGCTATAAAATGATTATATGAAAATGTGGATGCGTGCAGATACGCGTATGTGAGTCAAGGTTACGAATGTATGGGTGTGAGTAGGTATGTGTATGTGGATAGTTTGTTCGTCAATGACACTATAAAAGGGGGGGAATGTGCAGATATGTGGATGTGGAAAGAATGACAAAAGAATGATATCATGATCATAAACGTATCATGAAAATGTAGGAGTGTGTAGAAATGTGTTTGTAGATAGATTGTGATGTAATGCAAAAACGGAAATAAGGTGGTTCGTACATATTTATGTGTACACATAGGTGGTCATCAATTGACAACAAGCAAGTAAGGCTATGCAATTACGTGTTCTGGGGCCTGTTTTCTTGTCGTATAAGCATGTACGCATGCCAGTGAAAGATCACGCAGCTTAGTGTATCACATCTTCACATTTGTTGGTACGTGTGTATATTGCATGGGATATCATGCCCATGTAAGGATTGCTTTCTGAATGGTCACACATTTATTTTGAGTGCCTGTGCATGGCAGGAATTACTTCCGTGGACTGTGTTGCGTATAGGGATATAGTAGGTGCTTATACCCCTCAAATCTGCTGGATTGCGTCAGGACGAGCCACTCACTCCGGCTGATATATGTGCAAGTCACGTACATATTTGTGGTTGTTGGAATAGCTCGTCGACATACCATTCGATTGGTCGCATTATTGGGCAAAACCAATGATTCTCTGTTCTCGGCTAAATCGAGGTCTGCCTGGTTTGATGTATTGTGCCGGAATGCTCATACAGGGCGTGGAGAATGCGAAGTTGAGCGCAAAAGCCGAACTTGTTTGAGCCTTATACTTATTTATCCCATCCAGTATACGAGGTAGTTGCTAGATGCATAGCATCCCAACTAGATATTAAGGAGAACTAAGCAGTCGATGCGGACTTGTCTAAGGTTTTTATCTATTAGAGAGCATCCCTTTATACTCTGTATGAATATATATTTGGAGATGTTACTTTGTGCGAGTTTATTTTGCGGTACGGTTTCTCCCATGCGTGGCTGGGCCTGTGTTCGATAATAGGGCTGCAGTGCCTAACTCCTATGTGTGGTGTATTTTACAGAATATGTGCGAGGAGAACGAGTGGGAATATCCGCCAGTTGGTCGGAAAAGGAGATATGATGTGGAGAAAGACGTCCACCAACCAGAAATAAGCATCAGTTATGGGAGGTCTAAAGTGAACGCTATAAACCTCTTTGACTTCAAGGTATGTGTTATGGACGATGCAACCACACATATATACTGGTCAACAGACGCACACGAATATTTTCTTACTTTGCGTGCAAATTTACATATCCCTTTGCGTATTGCGGTGGTCTCCAACGATCCATCCACGCATACGAGACTGGTCTTTGCCCCGTTATATCTCCTATCGTTGGGCACGCATGTGTGTTTACTGCATGTGCACTTCATTTGCTCAACACCCAATGCAATTCTGTCACCTGAAGTTCTGTACATACACATTGGTACGTGTACACAGCATGTGCGTCCGTAGATGTTCACCTCACGTACTCACTGCGTGCACACACAGGTCATACCTGCACTACTTAGGTATGCGTTCAAGGTCAACATCTCGCTATTCCTCATGTGCCTGGCTCTGTGTCTGAGCTTCTCCACGGTGGTATATCTGATTGTGGTGTATGGGCTTGTGCCGTTGGGTGACGACCCGTCCAACTGCGCGAGTTTTAAGTTTGAGGCCGTGTGGATCTTCTTCACCAATCCGTTCCATGAAGTCACCATTGGATTCTGTCATAGGTATGCACATGGTGAAATACAAGCTAAATAATATTCATTTGTCAGCGTGTTGGTATAGCCGCTGGGGTGTAGTATTACAAGATTTGTATTGTATGTCTTCACACCTCCGTGACTTCATGCCAGTGTTAGCACATTGTTACGATGGGAGCAGTCACCCTAAGGTCAGCGCACCTAATCCATACTCAGCGAGCCCATCCAGGTACTATCGTCACCTCAATGTAGTCTATTATCACTACAAATAATTTCATCGTCCCATATAGGTGTTACTACACGGGCTCGCCTGCTTACCCTCTCCTAAGCTCACTGTATATATCAATATTTTTACATTCTTATCTACCCCCTATTCCCACTCATTCACGCCTCGATGCCAACGAGACTATTTTCTTGAGTTTGGTACGAATGTCCTGTACACTTGACTTGGGGTGTGAGTGATTCTCATGTTATTCATGTTTCTCTTAATTTGTCTCTCTGGATTATTTAGCATCCTTCTGTATATGTGCTTGGATGAAATGCAGCCCTGGCGGCCGTTCAAGTTCTACGGGCCCCTCCTGGTGATCATTTATGTCGTGCAGGTATGTAGGAGACATTATAGTGCATGTTTACGACCAAGCACGTGCGTGCTATTGCCGCTTGTCTCGCGGAATGTGTTGCAGCATCTACCTTTTCTGTCGTGCTGCATCAGTACAACGTATATACTATGCGGATGAGCCGTACTGTAAGTGTATCCATATGGAACACTGCAGCGATTTGTATACAACTGTATCGTTCCAAGTTGGGTTGCCTATTTTCTGTGGTGGTGTATCGTCCAGGGCGGTATTATTTGTGCTGTTTGTATATAAACAGATATATCAGTTGCTATGGGTGTGCGTCCTAGTGAGGAGGTATTGGTGGAACATACTGTCACTCCCCGCTCAGCACCTGCTATACATTTGATGCGTTGCCCGAGTGTTGTGTGGTATTGTATTTTTCTGGGCGGTAATGTTCGTATCGGTTACTTCACACTCAGGTTTTGCTACAGACTTAATGTGTTTCTCGCGTCGGCGTAAGACCCCGAGAATGCTGCCTCAAAGAATTTACTATACTTCGTAGCTGGATCTTGGTTTTGATAAGTCTGCGTTGAAGACATTGTATTGACATGTAAATCCATCGACGATACGTACTCTCACAGTATACAAGTGTTATCGTGGACAATACATACTCATACTTTCACTACATACAAACATACTCATGCTCCCACTATATACAAGTGTATGCACGGACTATACATACTCTCACAGCCGACAAGTATATTAATGTACAATACGTACTCTCACAATATATAAGAACGAGTTAGACGATACATACTCATACTCTTACTATATATAAATATACTCATTCTCTCACTATATACAAACATACTCGTACTCTCACTATATACAAATGTTTGCATGGACTATGTTCACTCTTACGACAGTCAAGTATATTCATGGACAATACGTACTCTTACAACATACCAGTATGGGTTTGGACTATACATACTCTCACAGTAAACATAGAAAGATACTCAATATCAGTTCATCCCTGCGTATTGATTCGCCTTACTACCCTGTCATGAGGGGAATCACTAGACTTATAGCATATCTCTCACGCACTCACATTCAACTACACGCGTTCGTCTATTGCTCTGCAGACGGCTGTGTTCGCCGTCACCGGCGCCACTATAGGCACGTACAAGTTCCAGGGAGTGTTAATGCGAGCAATCACGCTGTGCTGCGAGCTAGCGTACCATAAGTAAGCACGCATCGAGCGCAAGCATGTGGTGTATGCCATATATTGCAATTGAACCATAGTGTTGGGTTTAGTAGAGCGTCTTTATGCGGTTGCTGAGTGTAGACACCTGCGGGACAGGTGGTTTGTATGCAATGTACGAGGGTGTGTTGATGCTTGCGACCACTTGTGCTTCTGACAGCTCGTCTACCACAAGTAAGGGAAGATTGAGCGCGAGCATGTGTTGTAGGAACAAGTAGATAACGATTTAGTGTGGACACGTGGTATATTTTGAATCATGTGACGGTGTTGGTAGTAGGTAGGTGAATATATCCCATTTCCGAGTGTATAGACCTGTGTGATGGTTTTGTTGGAATGTGGGGTCATGTATTACTTTTTTGAGCAGGTACAAGTCTTGAATATTACATTCCATGTATATAGTTATAAGTCCATACCTATCACTTGTTTTATCCTTCCTCACCCACCAACACTTTGTGTTCTTGAGTTCTATATTTTATAAACCCTTCATTTCCCATCCTTCGTACCACTTGTAGTTTCCTTAAGTACCGTATCATCACCTTCCGCGAGAACGACGCCACAGAGCCAACGGAATCACAGCTGAGTCGCTTCTCTGCGTTCAACCTGTACTTGTTTTTCGAGTTCCTGCTGTTTGTTATGTACGCGTGCTACGTGGTGGCCACCATCGAACTGGACGGCAATCTGCTCACCGCTATCAATTTGGCTGTGGTCATACTCACAATGGTATGTTGATTTGTTAACTATAGTGCTTTTATAATTTGCTTAATATCTGGCAGACATATTTGCCTGCTCAAGGGCGTGCACTTGCACACAATACAGTACAAGCGCTTTTTGTAATGATCTGAACATGCTTATGTGGGATCTATGTGGGTAATCTGGTACATCTCTCTCCTTGTGATACGTGCTTGGTTAATTTCTCTGTGACTTCTCTGTGTACCAAATTTAACCTCCGTCCCCCCCTTTTTTTCTTCAAATTATTCACGCACACTCTTCCAATGGAATGTATGTATGTATATATATATGGGCCTTGTCTACCCTTGGCCGCGCAGTTTGTGTGATATACGTCTACACAGTCAGATGGTTATTAATACTAAGTTCTCATCATGCTGGCGGTAGACACGCACACTTTATCTTCGATTGCGGTCTCTATACGCTTTTGTACTCATTTCTCACACGTGTTCGCACACATCGTGCGACAGGTATGGAACGGATGTAGGTAGCGGTTAGTGCATGACTTCTTCTGCTTCCTTTATCTTCACGCGTATGTTTGTACATATTCCGGTGACGTGGGCCATATAGACAAGGTCAGTTTTGAGACAAATTTCTGTAGCCTACTCCACCTATATCAAGTGTGAGTGTTTTCCTACAGACTCTTTATATATAGTATCATTATTTATCTGCACACGGGTTGTGCCGGGGCGTTTTTCGATACGTGTAGCAAAACGCAGTTTGTTGTCAGTCTCCAGCTGTTTGTATTCGCTGTGGCACTCTCAAGTGTTAACTCTCAGATGAATACCATGCGCATGAATGCTCGCTGTGAGCTCGGTACGTATGCATTGCGCTGGGTGTTCTCGATATCTCAAAGGGAGGTAATGTGATCATAATCATGTGTGCACGAGTGTGTGACCTTGTACGTGTTCGTATGTATGTATCCCGTTTTTTGCTACCATATGAGCGGGGGTCACGGTAGCCTTTAATCAGGCTTCTAGGGCACCAAAGTTTGACATCCTTGTTGCATACGGTTCTATACTCAGAATCATTTATTTTGGCGTACGTTAGTTTGCATACTTCGGTGTTTGTGCATGGACGTCTACCAATTATTTTCTCAATGTATCGGCATTCCATTGTTTCGTTTATACATGTCTTCGTATGTATGCGCCCCCATGTTTTCACATATTCCATGTCTAACCCGTGAAATGAAACCCATCTCAACAATGCTTTCAGATTCTACGGGCGATCCTACAGAGTCTCCTGATTCCTTTCCATAAGGACATGCAGTTTATCGTCACCTTCATCACCGTGTACGGATTTAAGGCCAGTTACACGGCCTTTTTAGCGCCTAATTTCGGGTCCAGTGTGGGTGCGTACATGACCGCAGCCATCACGCCCTTGACCTCTGTGCTCTTGGCGTTCCTGCATCATTCAGAGGTGCGTTCACGTTTCTCCTCAGTCTACCTACGAGTCGCCCCCTTGTGGCGGGCTTATGTATTTAAAGCATGCATGCAGGCATACGCCCGAGCTTGGTTACTGTTAAACACCGTGTGTATTTATTCAGTAGTTGCATACATATGCTCACTGCCAAGTAGGTCTCTAGCAGCTTTCAGTAAATGATTATTTCGATCTGGTATGCCCTTGTCCCACACCGCACAGCTCTGGTTCAGGTTCAGATGCTGGATTAAAACCGTGTACACCGGCCCCTTCTGCATGAAGACCAAATCCAAGGCACTCGCGGTGTTCGAGGACTTCAACTTCAACGGACGCGGCAACAAGAACGATCTGCCTGCCTATCAGCGCACAAAGGTCCACAACGACTTCCTGGAGATTTATGCGCAGCTGTGCGGCTATATAATTTACCTGTTGGTGTCGCCTGTGCTGCGATATGGTATGGTGGGTTTAGTATTTTTAGAGTTATTTTTTGTATTTTTAGGATATATACATCTATATTTAAATATATATAGATATATATATATATATATATAATATCTATATCTATATCTATATCTATTATCCATATATATATATATATATATATATATATATATATAATAATATATATATGTGTGTGTAGTATATATATATATATATATATATATATATATATATATATATATATATATATATATAGTATATATA